TCATTTTTGTTGTTGATGTTGTTACGTTAAAACTGGTCTTACCTACAATTTTATCTCTATGTAAAATGAGATTGACCACAAATGATAATCTAAAGAGACTTTTGGACGGGCTGAGTTGACGTGTGCAGTGTGGTAGACAAGAGCCATACTTTGTTAATTCCCGCCAATGGCTAGCAACCAGCTGTCGCCTAAAACTTCACTAACGTACGATGGCGTTGCTGATTTTGGAGCTTTCAGTAAACTATGTAGTTATTGTTGGTTGGTATGACACCTTGAATTTTAAACGCGTTCAAGTGAGTCATCGGTTGTAATAAAATACTCAGTGTGTTTAGTACTTGGTATGAATAAAGGTTCCCGGCTTTTAGCTCTTTACAAGTTGGTTTAGTTTTTTCTCGTTCCGACTGCGTCTCAAGTATATAAATTTATCAATCTATTGGATGGTTTAGGTATGCAGCTCTAATAATATGTGAGAAACTTGCGTTCCCCTTCCCCATCACGAACTAGTGCTCGTTGTTATTCTGGTATTTTTGGGGGCTATTTGTATAGGAATGTTCCTTATTCCTTCTGTTACAATAAAATCGCCATTTCATATATGAACACTGGTTTTAGTGATATATTTTAAGTCGAACACATACAATGTATTAGCACAGAGGTGTTTAGTTTATTCCCCAAAACGTATGATAATTTACAGTTATCATCTCTGAGTAGCCATATCATAACGTAGCCTATCTATAAGTTCAGATAGTTATTTTACAGCTTGTATCTTCTGTAAATTAGTTATTTTTCCAAATATTTGTGAATAATACTGGTATCAGCCAATCGTAATAGGGAGACCAATTGGAAGTATTTTCACGGTGCTAAATCAATCCCTACAGAAATCTCCTTATAATTGTCAGTTGTCGTCATGACTCGGTTTAGTGCCCGGGGCGCTTATTTACTTTTTTTACTCGTCCTTCGGTACTTAGGGACAGGGCGCTTATTTCTTTTTTGCAGAACGGTAGAGTGAGCAAACAAAGTTAACTTTGATTTTTTTTAAAGGATAAAAAAATATTGAAAAAAAAGGATTTGTTTTCGCTGGATCCTTCCTGCCGGCTAGAACGATCAGCCAGGCAATCACCGCAAATTCTAAAGATGAGATTATTCGTTTGAAGGATGAGTGAATTCACTTGGACATAATAATAATGATGATAACAATAATAATAATGATGATAACAATAATAATAATGATGATAACAGTAATAAAAATGATGATAACAATAATAATAATAATGATAACCATAATAATAATAATTATAATAAGTGAGAGACTGATACAAAGACCAATGTATTTGTGATGAGGCTTTTTAAAAGTGAGCACTTAAATAAAGATGAACTACCTAACGGTTGATTTCAATGCACATGCAGGGGGGGAGGGGAGGTTGGGAGAGCGCTGACTTCAGAGGGGGCGCTTACTAGAACGAGGGTGTTAAATCGAATCATACGGTAATCAGTTTCAAGTAATGTAGCTATCACCATCGACGTTTCTTCCGCAAAAGCTCCATCCGAGGAGGTCTAAGCTGTGAGTTAGTTCATTAACTTAGTGTTAATTTGCAATAGACGGCTTTAAAACGTCACCGCCAGTT